GTATACACAAATGCTTGGCAAACGTGTAAATATGCTCATCTTCACCCATTAGGGAAATACACATTGAAACTACCCTGAAACCGTCCATCATGTATCAGCCGGACAATTCAGAAATCTGACAACTCGCACCAGCGGGGAGGAGACGGAAGCCCTGCCCTGTCCGTGGTGGGCGCGTAGAGCGGTACAACCGCTGTGAGGAAGTTAGCAGCGCTTGACAGCCGGGGTTCCGCTTCAGCTGGGCACTCTCGCCCCGACCACGCCCCCTGGTTGTCACGGAGAAACGTTAGCCATGTCCTCCGCGTGCTCTCTCGGGAGACCCCGGCCGGAGGAGAAGGAACCCGCTGCGGCGTGCGGAGGGCAAAGTGCGGGACTCAGCTGCAGCCTTCCTCGGAGCCAGCACCAAAACCTGCCCGGGATGCCCTGGTTTGGGCGGCGTTGGATTTGCCTACAATCCTCACTCCCTGCTCCGTACAGTGGTAGGACCCTTTTCTCCACCAATGGCCGTAAGATCTCTCTCGTGTCATCTGCCGGCCACGCAAGGTTACAAACATAAAAACTAGCGTGTGATGGATTTATGGAATTCCGAGGTCCACCTGCAGTTGCCTTGGCAGGGCGAGAGCTGCCAACTTCATGGAGTGTGTACCACCTGCAGGCCAGGGGCTCTCACGTATGCCTTGTCAGCTGTGGATTACTTGTGATGCCTCAGACACCACAGATGGCAGAGATAAAGATAAGGAAAAGCTGCATTCAGTACAAGCACAATTTTTGTCACTGGAAGTTCTCAGTCTGCAGTCGGCTGAGTCCATGCACATAAGCAGGGAGCTGGATTAGAAGTGGAACAGCTGGAACTCACACTTGCACCTATATGGGATATAGACAGCGCCACGGAACAGAGGACTAGCCACTGTACCTGCTCCACTGGCTTTTGAACTAGGAAAGGAACTTGAATTCTGGAGATGGTACTGTGGTACAGCACATGTGTTGGCATCCATAGCAGAGTGCTAGTCCAAGTCCCAGCTGCTCCACTTCCCATCCAGCTACCTTCTAATGTGCCTGGGAAAGCAGCAGAGGATGGCCCAAGTTTTTGGGGCCCTGCACCCACCTGGGTGCATTTCCTGGCTTCTAGCTTCAGGCTGACCAAGCCTCAGCTGTTGGGAAATGAAATAATGGAAAATTCTCTCTCTCTCTCCCTCCCTCTCTCTCTCTCTCTCACACACACACACACACACACGTGCACACATACACACACACACTGCCTTTCAAGTAAATAAGTCTTAAAAACTGGACAGTTTTTTTTTAAAAAAATCTGGCTTTTGCCCTATCCACATGGCAGCAAGAAGGTGGATCAACTTCCAACTTCAGCGATGTGGGTGGACTCAGATGTAACTTTGACATCTTCCAGTTCCATTGGCTATAACACTCGCCCCACTGCTCATGTTGCACCTGCTGGGACCTGCTCCCTCCAGCTGCCTGAAGACCACAGACAAGGCAGGCTTCCCGGTCCCACTCTGCCCCAACGCCTTTCCTTGGTTGGTGCTTTCTAGGGAAGAGGCAGGCCTTGAGGTTTTAAATGTGCTGTCACAGAGAACTCACAGGGTGATTTGGTGTCCCTGCAAATCCAGACGCCAAAGAGATAGAGATCAAGGTTTTCAAAGCAAGCCCAAATTGGATTTGAAAAGCTAGAAAGGGGTGGGGAGTCGGAGCAGCAAGAAAGCCAGCACTTAGGATGCCAGCATCCTGAGTCAGTGTCCAGTTTCCACCCGTGTCCTGCTCACGTGCACCCTACAAGAGGCAGCAGGTGATGGCTCAGGGGATTGGGTCCTGCCACCCACGTGGAAGACCCAGATGGAGTACCTGCCTGGCCCAGCCCTCGCAGTTGCTGGTGTCTGGTGAACCAGTGGCTGGGAGACACTCCCCACGCCCACCTTTCAAGTATTTTTCTTGTAAGTAAGACAAAGAACATGGCTCAGGAGTGTTCACACCAGATGTGCACGTATCTTTTAGCAAGGGGGCCAATCACGCAGCCACAAGAACAGAGTCGGGGGTGGGGGGAGTGAGGAGGCAAGTCACGGGGTGAGTTGGTCGCCGGCCGGCCGGCAGCAGAGGCTGGAACCAGCGCTGGTTTCGCTGGCTTGCTAAGCCGTCCTACTCTAAGCAGCTGTGCTGAGTCAGCATTTTACCTCTTCTCTCCAACTGCTTGGCGCCCTGTAGACCTGCTCACAAAGGCAGAGGCTCCTCCAGTTACAGCTCCCTGCCCCCTCCAGTTACAGCTCCCTGCCCCGTGCCCGCCCCGACCCTGGTTTCATCAGTTCACACCTTTGAAAAAGCCATTGCCCTTCACACACTGTTCCCTAAACACCTGGCCCGGACACCAGCTTGGGCTGGGTCATATGCACCAAGTGCCCTGAGCCCTGTGCTTGCCTTAAAAAGAAAAGAAAGGGGAGAGGCGACACGGTGGGCTAGTGGCTAAAGTCCTCCTCTTGAACACACTGGGATCCCATATGGGCACTCGTTCTAGTCCCTGCAGCCCCGCTTCCCATCCAGCTCCCTGCCTGTGGCCTGGGAAAGCAGTCGAGGACGGTCCAAAGCCTTGGGACCCTGCACCCGCGTGGGAGACCTGGAAGAGGCTCCTGGCTTGGGATCGGCGCGCCACCAGCCATTGCAGTTACTTCGGGGGTGAATCATCGAATGGAAACTCTTCCTCTCTGTCTCTCCTCTCTCTGTAATATCTGACTTTGCAATAAAAAAAAATTTAAAAACTCTTAAAAAAGAAAAAAGAGAGAAAAAAGCCATCAGCTATGAGACAGCTGAAGCCCATCTCGCTCTGGCTAACGGCTCACTCTGGGGAAATAGACAAATCCATTCAGTCAGACTTACTACACTTCAACAAAATACAGGTGAAGGAACTTGTTGGGGAAAAAAATGGTCAGCCCAGCCCCAAGGAACAGGGCTCCCAGAAGGAACAGCACATGACACCTCCTGCCTCACACAGATGACCAGGCAACTGGAACATTTCCCCCATGGGTAACTTGCATATAATCCGAAATGGCTTGGGACTGCGGAACCCTCTCGCTGGCTCAAGTCTCAACCACTCAGCTTCCCTGCTGGTGCACCTGGGAAGGCAGCAACTGATGACCCAAATACCTGGGTCCCTGCTACCCATGGGGGGGGTACCAAGGGAGTGTTCCTTCTTGGCTCCCAGGCTCAGAACTGGCTGTGGTGGTCATTTGGGGAGTGAACCAGCAGATGGAAAATCTCTCAGGATCCCTGCTTCTGCCATTCTGCAACTACATAAATAAATCTTTAAAACTGCTAGTCCGTGTTCTTCTGACTATGAGCCCTGAGGGACCCTACGCTAGAGCTTAAGAGTGATTGGTCTTTGTGCTGGTAGGATTCACTCTGTTTAATGGGCAGAGGAGTGGTGCGGAGAGCACAGCCTGGGGGCATGCCACCCCACATGTGTGAGTCCTCGGTGACACGCAGGCATGCTTTTTATAGAGCCCTGGGGTTCCCAAACAGGCTTGAGATTTGAAACCCTAAGCTTCAGCTATGCGCCTCTGCTAAGAATAGAGTTCAACTTCCCAAACCTACAAGGGACAAGAGAGAGCTGGAAAAGAGAACAGTTCCCAGGGTGAGAGACCCCGAAGGACAGGCAAGACTTCAGTCCTGAACCCACAAAGATACCTCAATGGCTGCTCCCCGAGCTGCAGGTTCTACCACGGCCCTCATGACATCCCCAGCACGCGGCACAGGGGACACACTGACACCAGAGCTGAGAGTCCACTGCAGGGCATGAAGACAACTAGCTCCTTTAAAGGGCACTTTGAGAAGCCCCTGGCTAAGCGCTGGCATTGTGGTGCGGTGGGTCAAGCAGCAGCCTGTGATGTTGGCATCCCATATCAGAGTGCTACTTCAAGTTCCAGCTACTCCACTTGCGACCCAGCACCCCTAAGTAACATACCTTGGGAATGCAGGGGAAGATGGTTCAAGAGCTTCAGTTCCTGCACTCATATGGGAAACTCCAACTGAGTTCCAGGCTCCTGCCGTCTGGCTGTTGCTACCCTTTGGGGAGCAAACCGCTGGACAAAAGACAGAGCTCTGCCTTTCAAATAAAATTATTCCTTTAAAAAAAAAAGTGCCTGGCTAAAATCCAACCCAATCACAAAAGGATGCTTGAATAAGCTAATGGCTGCCGCACTGCAGAGATTTTGCTATTAAAATCCTACACCCAACAGCCATGAACACTAGACCAACTGCTCACAGTTTCCTCCAAGTTCAGGAACCACCCACCCAAGCATGGGACCGCCCCAAAGCCTGCCCCTTAGTACCCTTACTTATTCAGGAGAGTAGATGTGCCAAGGGGATCTCACTGTGCACACTCCCTCGATGCCATGGAGCCGGGGGACGGACAGGCAGACGCTGAGGTGGGGATTGTCCCCCCTTCCCACGGGACCCGGGTGGATTTCTCTTGGGGACACACCCTCAAGCCCCAGAATCACCTTTTCCCGATGGGAAATAAAGGATCCCACACCTGCTCCAACACATCTCTTTATGTACAAACAGGTCAACAGTACAGACGGAGTTGGCTTTCATAAATATTTGCAGCAAAATTTCCTAAAAAATGATGCAAACCAAACCACCCCTCAAGAGCGGCATGCGTGTCGGGGCTCCTGGGAAGCCTTGGAGGGCAGAGGGCAAGGACATGGGCGGGATTAAGCCACCACTTTCCCAGCCAAGCTGTCAAGGCAGCGGGCCCTGGCCCAGAGAGGGGGAGGAAAGGGCTGGTGGGAAGAAGTAGAAGAACCTGCCTTCTCAACGGAAGCCAGGCAAACCGAGGGCTCAAAAATCACCACAGGGAGAGCTGTAGTTTAGCTTTCCAGAATCTGCAAGGACAGGCATTTTCTCAAGGAAGTGTTACGTAGCACCATTTCTCTCCTCTGGTTCCGGAGCCCAACATCGCAGCCCAGCTCCGCGGGCTTCATCAGGAAGCCGGGCATGAAGGCAGTCACTGTGTGTCCTCCCCAAGGGGCTACTGCCCCTGGGGGGGGGGGTCATCCTGACTCAGGGAGAGGGCACAGGTGGTCCCAGACCTCATCCCGGCCTGGGGCTGATCTTGTGGAATCAAGGGCTTACTCGAAGCGACGCAGGTGGTTGTAGAGGGACTGCACGTAGGTGAAGACACACATGGGATCCGGCTTGCGGCCCATCACCATCATGTCCTCCACTTCGATGAGGCGCTCACAGTTGGCCAGGTTCCTGAAACACCAAAGTCCCCATCAGGGCAGTGATCCCAGCGATCCACAATCGTCACTGATTCCCAAACTGGATCCAGCCAGAAGCCCCAGGTTTTCAAGTGCCCGCCAACAAGGTTTTTAAATAATCGGAAGTTATGGCTCCATGGGTTAAGCTGCCTCCTGCAATGCCAGCATCCCATATGGGCACTGGTTTTAGTTCTGGCCACTTCACTCACAATCCAGCTCCCTACTAAAGCATCTGGTTAGGCAGGCCATAATGGCCCAAGTCGCCTACGTAGGAGATCCAAATGAAAGAGCTGGCTTCAGTCTAGCCCAGCCATGATTACCATGACCATGTAGGAAATGAACTAGTGGATGGAAAATGTCCGTCCCTCTCTAATTCTGCCTGTCAAATAAATAAATAGATATTTTAAGATTTCCCTCATCCATGGATGACCTACACAATTCATACGTTTTAAGTAGACCAGCTTATTTTAGTTTTAGTGAAATTTTAAATTAAAATGTTTATCAGTAGTCTCTGAGAAACCAGAAAGGACTACGAGCATAAATATAAAACTAACAAAACAAAAAGTAAGAGGCTGGTGCTGTTAGCCCAGTGGGTTAAGCTGCCACTTGCAACACCTGCATCCCACTTGAGGTTAGTTTGGGTCCTGGCTGCTCCACTTCCAATCTAGCTCAACACTAATGCTCCTGGGAAGGTAAGTGATGGTGGTCCAAATGCCGGGGCCCCTGCCGCCTGTGCGGGAGACCTGGGTGGAGCTATGGGCTCCTGGCTTCAGCCTGGGCTCAGCCTTGGCCATTGCTTTTGAGGCATGACGAGCAGATGGGAAGATACTTCTCTCTCTCTCTCTCTCTCTCTCTCTCTCTTTCTTCCCAGCTTCCTCCCCAAAGGTTACACATCTACAGACTCACCCCACCACAGACTGAAATTATTATTTTTTAAAAACTGCACCTAAACACACTTGTTTTTTTCTTGCTGCAAGCCCACGGGAGGACCGGGTGGGTGACTTGAGAGTGGATGCTGGTGCCCTGGGGGAGTCCCGGGACCTGCCTGCCACAGGCACGGGAGGGGAGGACTGTTGACAGATTCAAATTTCATAGAAATACTTATTGCTACTGCTGATACTCATACTTCATGTGTATCCTTCTTCCCCTCCTCTCCTTTATAATGCTGATTATGAACAACTAAGCAGATTTCACAACCTACCCATGGGTTGTCAAAAATTGCCTAGAATCATCTTGCCATCGCAGCCCCAACATCCCAGGGCCGGTGCCTCCTGCCCCCGGAAACACTGGTTTAGTTTCCAACCAGTGTGAGCACCAGCGCCACACCATGGCTTTCCCTGCGCCCGGTGGGGGGCTGGAGGCCTTACAGAAGCAAGATAATGACATTCAAAGCCAAGGCCGTGCCCTGAGGGGGTTGGGAGGGGTGCAGAAGATCAGAGTACAGCGTGTGACACCAATCCAGCTTTGCGCTAAGGACCCTGGGAAGGCAATGCAGGATGGCCCGTGTCCTAGGATTTCTGCCATCTAAGTGGGAGACCCAGAGGAAATCCTGGCTTCCGGTTTATGTCTAGCCAACCCTGGCCATTGCAGCCATTTAGGGAATAAACCATCAGATAAAAGATCTATCTCTACCATTCAGTCAAATAAGTACATTTTATTTTATTTTTATGTGAAAGTCAGATTTACAGAGGAGAGAGAGGAAAACATCTTCCACCCGTTGGTTCACTCCCCAAATGGCCACAATGGCTAGAGCTGGGCTGGTCTAAAGCCAGAAGCCAGGAGCTTCTTCTAGGCAACCCATGTGGGTGCAGGGTCCCAAAGCCTTGCTTTCATTGCCTTCCCAGGCCACAAACAGGGAGCCGGATCGGAAGTAGAGCCTCTGGGACACCAACTGATGCCCATATGGGATGCTAGTGCCTCGGGAAGAGATTTAGCCTATTACGCCACAATGCTGTCCCCTAGACAAATCTTTTAAAATCAATAAATAACAAAAGGACACTGGCCCATGCACCTGAGCACTGAGTCCTGAAACAGCAGCAGTGGTCTCTGAATTGCCAACCCCTGCCCCTCCAACACCTGACTGGCTGTTTGCAGCATGCCGGGGACCCCTTGGGTATTGCAACCTTCGCATGTAGAGTCAAGAGGACAAACCCACAATACTTTGTCCTTGTGTTGCAAGGACAACTGTTGCAGCCTTGTGTCCAGCAGCTGCAGGCTCCAGGGACATCTGCCTTTTTTTTTTTTTTTTTTTTTAATGAAAGAGTAAGTGCCTAACTGTTCAGAGTGCAGAACTGTGCAACACACTTAGCCCTTCCGGCCTGTATCCCCTTCTCCCAAAGGAGTAAGGGTTAGTGAGCTCACACAGGACACAGCCAAAGGGCTCCCCAAACGTCAGCACTGTTAACTGCTGCTGTCTTTAATATCATGTGTGGCCTTCACATGCTAAATGGACCACAGGGCAAGAGGCCAGGCTGTGAAATCTGCGAAGACAGGTGCAGACTTGGCTCTGCCAGCCACCCTCTTCCTTGGTTGACATCAGAAGGTATCTGATCCATGCCTACTTGCTTCCCAGAGAGCCCAGCTGCAGGGAAGACTCCAGCAAGCACTTGAGGGCTCCCCTGGACCTATCCCAGAACCCCACGGCTCTACCAGGCTTTGCTCGCCCCCCCTGTGGGATGGGCAACTCGTGCTCAGCTCCCCCAAGACAAAGCAAGGCTGTAACGGTCCTGCTGGGTGGCGCTGGCCTAACATCAGGCCTCTCGTCAGACACCAAAGGTCAAGGCGAAATGCAGACTTCTGCCCCAGATCCCAACCTCGCCTCAGCAAGCTGTAAGGGAACCCAATAAGCCGCTGTGAGCCAGCAAGGCGAGGTGAGGGCAGGGCTGCGTGCCGGGACGGGCAGTCTGCTAACAAGGGCAGACGTGCAAAGCGGCTTTGTCCACTGTTAAGGACTACAAATTGGAGTCTTTCCAAAAAAGCCAGGACCGGGCTCACCTTTCCAAGCTATCATAAGCATCTGTTGTTCATCACCTGGCCCTCGGGAGGGCTCCTCCCCGTCCCAGGCCCGCTGCTGAGGACGCCTTGGAGAGAAGCTGCACCATCCCAACACCTCACTCCGAGGCACGGTCACCTCTCTGACGGCCCTGCCTCACCGCTGGCCGCCGGGGCCCGAGAAAGGCTGGGCAGTGGGCCGTGGACAAGGCCTGGTAACCAGGGCAGTAGGAGCTCACTCATCTGGGTGCCTCCACTCCACTGTTACGCTTACGTAGACACGAGTATAGGGGTAGGGCCAGCACTGTGGCATAGCGGGTAACGCTACCAGCTGCCGTGCCGGCATAGCATATGCACGCCAGTTCAAGTGCTGCTCCACTTCTGATCCAGCTCTCTGTTAATGCATCTAGGAAATGCAACAGGGGATGGCCCAAGTGCTTGAGGCCCTGCACCCACATGAGAAACAAGATGAAGCTCCTGGCTGCTGGCTCCCACCTGGTCCAACACTGGCATTTGTAGCCCATTTGGAGAGTGAACCAACAGATGGAAGCTCTTTCTCTTTCAAATAAAAAAAGTCTTAAAAAAAAAAACAAAGAAAAAGAATCAGGGGGTTCCTAAGGCAGGCATTACAGGGCCCAACACTAGCCACCACCTCTAGGGTTCCTTTTTTTTTTTAAAGAGTTATTTTATTTATTTGAAAAGCAGAGTGGCAGAGAGATTATCCCCGGGGAGACAAGGTAAGAACAAGGTCCCCTGCAGTGGAGGACAGACTCCAAGCACAGACCGGGAAGGGAAGCTGGTGAGCCGTAGGAAGGACACCTTAGAGGCCCCAGTGCCTTTTATATTATATCAACAAATAAAAAAGCACCTGTATAACAGGAAGAGCGATGTGTGGCAAATCTCCTGGGAAAAGCTCCCAGGAAAAAGTGTCAATCACGCCTGTGGAAGGCAGCTTTATCCTGCCCTGCCCTGGCTGGAAGTGGGTGGGGGGGAGGGCGCGGAGGCCTGCATCTCAGCAGAAAGGGGCGGGGACTTGGGGGTTATTTTTATTTTTTTAAGCCAGCTCTAAATGCGGCAGAAGGATGCCAGAGCCAGTGACTGGTATGGGACAGACACATGGGCTCCACAAATAGCCTGGAAGCCCCTCTCGACTGTGAAACCCGAGCAGAACACATTCCCCGCAGGGCAAACGGGAAGCCTCCACCATGGCCACAGGGCTCCACGGCCCCACACATCCTGCCCTGGGCTCTGGCTCCGTCCAGTAGGGACAGTGAGAAGGGAGGGGGCAGGCGCCAACCCACTGGACCTCTGCCATTAAAGGGGCTGGTCTTGTGGGCTCCAGGCCCCCAAACGAACGAATGAACACCTGTCAAGCCAGAGATGCCCACTACGCTGTCAGCACCGCATCACTCACACAGATTAAGCCCCAGCGAAGCTCTGGGACCTTGAATGACTGGGAGGAGGGCAGCACACACCACGCTCACTGTAGCCTGAGTCCTGGATACATCTCTGTGCCTTCAAGGTACTTGCTCCCAGAAGTTTTTGGAAAGATCTCCTTCCTGATGTTGGGCAGACCCTGAAGCTGGGGGCACTGCGTTGTCTCACCAGCCTTCCTAACCAACCCTGGGTGTTGCAAGCTGTTCTCCCAGGAGACCCCAGCCACCCCACCCTGTGTTCTGTTGAGGGTTTCCCAAGAGAAACTCCTGCACAGGCTCCCCACACAGGCACTGTCCTCCTCTCCCCACGGGGCAGCAGGCTCAGGCCAAGGTCTGTGCTCCCCTGTTCACTCTGGGGAAGGAGGAGGAGGTCCCAGGCTAGCCTCCACCACCACCTCCCCAGGCTAGGACCAAGAGAAACATCTGTTTAGAGTCTGGAGGCTCCACGGGCTCCAAGCCGGCGCTGGAAAAGCACCGTCTAGAACTGCTCTGGCTCTGGCAGCTGAGGGGAGCTGTGTTCCCTACCAGCTGGGGTGTGGGGCCACCCAACTGGGACCCAGGACATCCTAGCTGAGTCAGGGGCTGGCAGTGACCGAGGTGGCCAGAACATGAACTGGCACCTAAATGCCAGTCGCAATTTAGGAAATAATTCTCTAAGTGGAACCTGGACTTACCTCAGTCAGGGCGGGTGCTGGGGCACCCACATCAGGGCCCAGATCCCACCCACTCTAACAGTCTGATTTTTGACAGTCGCCCTGGCTGGACAGCCAGCAACTGGGCCTCCTCTGGGGAGCCAGCCCCCACCCCCTTACCCCACTAGCATTGTGCTTTGGCCCGACTTCCCCTGCGTCTGGATACAGTTGCACAACTTACTCTTCTGAAGCTGTTTCTGCAATTAGGATGACAGCTAATCCCGAGCAGCCGCGACTAAAGAGGGTTGGAAGTATACAAGGAGTTCTTGTGACCTCAAGGGGACCCAGAGAGTCTAGGCACGCCATCCAAGACGATGCAATGGGCCAGGAAGGATATCGCCCCCCACCCTGCCCTCCCCCTGGGAGAAAAAAAAAAAAAAAAAAAAAAAAAGACTTGTGCTGAGATGCTTAGAGCCCAAAGCTGCCTCGCCCCACCCAGCGAGCAGCCAGAGCACACGGCCTCTGCTCCAGGCACGGCTTCCACTACCAAGTGTGGGTGATGAGATTCCTTGGCATGGCTCCACCCTGGCAGGGCTCGGGGCTTGGGTGGGCCAGGAATAGAGTGAGGAGTGCAGGTCAGCTTCCTTCAACCCAAGCAGCACACGAGATTGCAAGGAAGGCTCAGAGAAGCAAATGTGCAGGGGCTGAGAGTCCATATGTCCCCAACCCCCAAGGAAAATCAGCCTGGAAGACGGCCACCCTTCTCCTGGACCATCAGCGAGCCAAGCGCCAGGCAGCCCCCACGGCAATCGTCTGTCCCTCATCCTGACCTTCCCATCTCTTCATGGGCTCAGCCAACAGGAGGCCCTGGTAAGATGCAGGAGGAGGGGAGGCAGAAGGGGCCAGGAGTCATCCAGCGGGTCCCTTCTGCAAGCTGGCCACATACATCTGTCCCAAGTCCAATGCCCACTCCACAGCGTTGTCACCCTAGGGTGCTACCCTGTGCCTGCCTCGTTCCCCTCCTTCCTTCCCACACACACACAATGACAGCTTCAGTGAGGGTCCCTCCATGGCTGGAGTGAGCACCTGTCCTTTCTCCCTCCACTCCCCCCACCAGCACCCTCCTGCCCACTCCCCGCCCTCACAGACAGACCCTGCTCTGCCAACTCCTCTGACGCTACAGGCGTTGCTCCCAGCCAGTGCATCAATCAATCCATCCCCAAAACCAGCTTCTGAAACACCCACCTTCTTGTTCCCAGAGCTGGTCCCCGCCTCCCCTAATCTTCTCCTTTGGGAGAAGGACTTAAGAAGACAGGTCCCCACCCAGAACTCATGTTGAGGCTTGGTTCCTGGTACAACAGGGTTGGTAGGCAGTGTAACCTTTTCGGGGCCACTCAGGTCACAAGTGGCCGGCCAGCTCTCACGATGGAAGGGTACAGCTCTCCACAGAGTAGGTAAGCAATCAAGAGAAGCAGCTATCACAAAGTACGGAGGTCCCTGCAGCCCCTCCCCTCTCACACACGTGCACACCCAGCCTGAGGCTTCCCATCAAGCCAGGGCAACACAAGGCCCTCGGTTTTAGACTGTCCAGCCTCTAGACTGTGCGCCAAGACAAACCTCCATCCCCGATCAATGAACCAGGCCTGGGGATTCTGTTACTGCCACTAAAGATGGATAATGACAACGACAACAAGGCGAGTTCATGGTCAGTGCGGGAACAGTGTTCAGGGATGCAAAGCCCAGTTGCTCAGGACAAAATCCACTTGCTCAGTGTCCTTGGGGCTCTCCCATCTCCTGCTGACCAGCAGCCAGAGCTCACCACCCCTTCTGCCAGGTCTGGAGCTGGCCTCCCAGCCGCCCCCTTCCATGCCCCCCAGAAAACTGGGCAACTGCAACAGAGCCCTCAGAGCAAATCCTCCTGCAGGCCTCAACCTCAGGGTTCCCCAAAGCCTCCCTGCCCTCAAGCACCCCAGCCAGGGCAGGGACCACAGACCACCCCGCTGTGGGGCTTAGGGTTCCAGCATACTCACTCGGCCATGCTGAAGGCAAGCTCGAAGTTCTTCTGCCGCTGCGTGGGGCTCAGTGCGTTGTAGTCAAAGGCATCGGGGAAGAAGGAGTGCACCAGGGCACAGAAGGCCATGCCATCGCTCCAGCTGGAGGAGAAGTTCTGCAGATCTACATGCTGCAGGCAGGGCGAGTGGGCCGATGGTGTGGATGGCACGACCACAGTTTCCCCACCCCTCACCCATGTGCTGCCCCCATGCAATCTCACGAGCATGTTCTCCCAGCCCCTGCCCAGCTCAGGCACGCCACATTGCCAGAGCTCACCCTAGTAGGCTAGGTTCCTTCTGGCTCCTCCTGGCCCCAGCCTACAGAGGGGCGCTCTTGAAGGTTGGGGGCTCTGGGAGGCTCAGTCAGGCCCCTGCCCAGACTCACCTGGTAGCCCAAGGTCTTGCTGCGGCACCACTCGAGCAAGATCTGCTTGATGCTGCTGGCACTGGCCACGCCGAAGCTCTGGGACCGCTTCAGCTTGGCCCGGGTCTCACCCTTACCCCTGTGAAGAGAGGCCAGGCCTGGTGTGGGGGCCACCCCTGCAGCTGCTGCCTCCCAGTCCAGGGTCTGTGCCACCCGCTTTACATGCCCAAAAGAGATGCTGGATCCGCATGCAGCCTCAATGCCCACAGACACAGCCGACACCCTCCTTCGCTGGTCTCTGGAATGATCACCCACTCCCTCCAGCTCCCCACCTCTAGCTGCCATTTATTTCCCAGCAGGGGTCTCTGAGTAACCCCGCAACACAGGGGGCCTCTGCCTGACACCCCTCAGATCCGTACTTGCCGGCCGTATCCTGCTCCCACTTCTCAAACAACGCCTTGCGGGCCTGGGCCCCCGAGGTGCGGGGCAGCGTCTGCGACCTCACCAGCTCCCGACGACGCTCGCCCTGGCGCGGGGCCTGAGTCGTGGCTGGCGGCGACGGAGATGGAGGTGACTGAGGTGGTGTCACCAGTGGTGGGCTGAGGAGAGAACCACGGAGTCCTGGTCACACTGGGTCCCCTCATCTCCCCTTGACAAGGTCCTCTTGTCCAGCACTGAGCAATAAGGAGGCAGACAGGTGCACCTGAGGTGGTACTTCCGGGCCAGGATTCTAGTCCCTGTAGGTTCTCTGAATTAAAGCAGACTTGGCTGGTAAAAGTCCAACTCAGGAAGGGACATGGGGCATAACTGCCCCTTGGCAAGTGTCAGTGTCTGGGGAGGGCAGGGGACCCCCTTTGCAAGCAAGATGATTCCCAGCACCACCAGGATCAGGCTGCCCTCCCTGTCCCAGTTAGATAAGACCCTCCTTGTTCTCCCCTGGCACAATCTGCCAGAAATTCACAATTCAACTTCTATTACTGAAAAGGAAAAAAAAGCCAAGTCTACCCCTCCCCCAACTCCAGTGCCAAACATAGTGCAGGTGGCAGGTCTGGGGGATGATGGGTCCAGAAGCCAGAGGAAGGGGCCCTGCTGCCCAGCCCAGCTCAGGGCAGCTCTGCATTCCTGCTCCACCTGTGGCTGGGAGGTATCCAGCTGTGATACTCGCTGTTGCCAACTAAGATGGAGGAAGACAAAGTAGAACATTCTCTTACCCTCGTTCCTGCAGCAGGGTCTGAGGCCCTCCCCTCCCCACCGCCTGATCTCAGATTGACCTTTCAGGGCCCACAGAGAAGCCAAGTGGCAGCCCAAGTTCCCTAAACAAACTCCTCCAACAAGCTCTACTGCCTCTCTCCGCCTGCCTAGCTATGTGGAGACACGAGCCCACAGAGCACACCTGCTCCCAGGATCAGCACCTGGGCCCTCAGCAGACAGCCTGGGCAGCTGGAACCAGGCCCTGACTCACCTGTCGTTGCGCTTGCCTGCTGTCACCATCCCGTAGCCAGAGCTTGACAGAGACCGCGTAAGAGAGGGAGTCTTATCTGTAGGGCGAAAAGAGGGAGAGGAGTTACAAACGCAGCTTGGCAGCAGCAGCAGCTACCTGCTCCCTGCCTCAGCAGTCAGCAGAGGGGAGCACAGCACAGCAGCATCCAGAGGCCTGCTCTCTGATGCCACCTGTACCACGTGACCAGCAAACACTGCTCCTAAAGTCCCCTTCAGGGAGCCCAGAGAGCTCCCATTGGACTCCAGTGGGCTCAGGAGGAGGGGTCTGTGCCGTACGTGCAAAGACGAGGCCACCTTCTACCCCGAGCTTTGGCTTCTGATCAGAAGTCCCCCATGAGGCCGGGTGCCATCCCACACCATGCAGAGTTGGGCTCTCCCAGCACCTGCCCACCCTCTCCCACCTGAGGCAGCTCCACCCCACAGCATGCTGCCCCTGCTCCTACCACTGGGACTGGGAGTCCAGGGGGTGGTGGCCTCACTGGGGCTTGGGCTGAAACCCGCCAGGACTGCAGCAGATGTGGGGGACAGAGCGGCAGCAGAGGTCTCCCCAGAGAACCTCTCGGAGACGCGGGTGATGGCTGTGACTGGCTGGTGGGGCTGCCGCAAGGAGAGACTCACGGGGCGAGGCTTGGAGGGTCCCGGGGTCGGGAAGGTCTGTGCAACCTCAGTGGGGCTGTCGCCTGGACCTGCAATGTGGGATCAGCAGGAGAGCTCAGCTGCGATGGCCACCTCCTCCGGGAAGGCTTCCATACCCACTCTAGACTCCCTGGCCTCCCCCGGGGCTATCTTCCTCCAACCAGAGCTGCCCCTTCCTAGTCTCCGTGGTAGCTGCTACAATCAATACCAGTTGGTGTGGTACTCCAGTACCCACCCTTTTTAGTGCTAAGACCACTCCTTAGTCCCTGCTTACTTTCCTCCAGGAACAGGAAGCTCACTACTTCCCTAATTTTTCCCTTTCCCTTTGGGTCTAAGAAGTTCCACTTCATTTTGAATGAGGCACTCTCCTGGTAGCTGTTGCCTATTGGGGTTCAGTCTCACAGTCCTCCCCTGCCACCACCACCAGCCAAAGGACAACCTGGTACAGACAGTGGGCAAGGCCTTGACCCCCTTGGCCTCCCAGCAGCCCTCCTCTGCTCTCGGTCCGTACCTGCCCCGGGCAGGTGCCCGTTGTCCAGGATGCACGAGTTGGAGGCCCTCCTCATCTCCGGCTCACTGGTGTCCTCATGATCCACACTCTACAGAGAGACACACACACCACTGAGGCCGCTACATCAGGAGCCAGCTCCCCACCACACAGGTCCCCCCAATCCCCCAGAAGGGACAGGCATGGGCCACGGTCATACAGCAAGCTGGGATGGCCACACCAGCTGCTGAGTCCCTGAGATCCCTGGGCCCAAGACAGAGTCCATAGAAATGAGGCAAAACCTGGATGGAGGTTCCAAATGAGCAAGTGAGGTCCCACCCCTCCCCTCAGGCAAGACCAGTGGACCGTAGTGCAGGGAGCAGGAGGAAGCCAGAAACACAAGGTCCCCCAGGCTGTGGACCCCTCACATGGAGCCCTCCCTCTATGTGGGACACAGGAATCCCCAGGTGCAAGCACAGGTACAGGGCTGATTGGCTCCCCTACACCTGGGACTGTGGGCAGAGAGGGGACAGACGGAGAACTATGCCCACTACACACATACAAGGGCTATGACCAGGGGACAGATGGAGAGCTGAGACTGACAGCCAGCAGGAAAGCCCGGGATCCTGGCTGGTGGCCAACCCATCGTGTGCCTTGGTCCTCAGCATGTCCCCTCTGGCCCTTAGCATCCTTGTCCCAGAAACAGGTCACCAAGAACCATTCGGATGTCTCCCAAGCAGCAGCCCTGGTCCCCACATGCCTCTTTGGCCAACTTGCTCTATTCTCCCTGGCAGAGGATAACAGACCCATTCCACAGATGGCACCACAGGCTCAGAGAGGCACTGCCCAAGGTCAAACAGTCTCCCAGCCAGAGATATGGCCAAGAAGAGAGCTCCCCTCTTTCCAGGCAGGGGGTGGGGAGGGTTGTGCATGCCTGTGGAGGCAGGTGGTAGGGGTCTGTCTGGCATGAGGGACCAGGAGAGATACTATCTGTTAAAAGTGTGGCTTCAGAGTTTGACAGTGCCCATTCTAGGCACCTCCAGGCTGACTCCAAGGCCTGCAAGCTTCCCAGACAAACAACAGCTCAGCCCTGGGCCCAGACAGCCCAGCCCCTCTTGTCAGCTATGGGGGAAGCAGGGGTCAGCCCCATAGAGAGGCCAAGCCCCTAAGGATGCCCAGCAGGATGGGAGCGGGGGAGCACGTGGGAAGCAGGGGTACCTGAGCCAAGTCCAGAGTGAACCAGGAGGACGGGGAGGGGAGGCGTTGGCAACAGCATGACCAGTGTCTGCACAGGCCGTGGGCACTGGGATCACGCATGCCCAGGATGTGGGCAGTTGGGACAGCACAGTGCAGCCCAAGCTGCCCACCCCGAGGGTTTGGACATGACTCCTTAGACACCCCAACTGTTTGAGAAGCCCCCTCCAGGAGCCAACAGGAGGCTGGCACTGGAAGGCGACAGGCGTTGGCAGGACAGAGCAGGGTTGGGGTGACAAGGATTGGTGTTTGGAACATCATGTGTGCCCTGGGACATCAGGATGAGAAATGAAGAAATGATAGTCGCAGGCCCTCAGGGGGTACTGGGGGCCTGGGATGAGGCACTTCAATTTCAGAAAGCAGGAGAGGCCTGTGGGGCTGGAGAGTGAGAAGACAGAAGGACCCCAACAGAACATGGAGGAAGCTTGGATGAAAAGAAGTAGGTACCCAAGGGCAAGGCAAACTCTAAACAACACTCATGGGGTTCCGTAGGCAAGAGCTCAATTGCAGTGAGAGAGAGGAGAAGCACAGGGCACCAGCCCAGGAAAGGGCAGACATAGAAGCCAGTTGAGAGACCACCTGCCAGTGCCCAGGAGGTGGGAGAGGGCAAGACTCAGAGCCGGGGAGAGCCTCCAGGAAGAGGCTAGGAGAGTGTGCCGGGTGGCCCCCGGCACTCCAGAGGGGTGGCACTCCAGAGGGGTGGCAAGGGGTGCCCAGAACCACACCCCAGTGCCCCTGCCACCAGGGCTTGCTCAGCTCCAGGGCAGTGGGGTGATGGTGGGGGGGTGTCTCCTGGTCCCTTCACCCTTCCAGCTCTGGTCCAACAGGTTCCACAGGTCCCTGTAGGCTGATGGCGAAACCATTTTCCCAGGAATGTGGGTCTCTCTAGGGACTCCTAGATACCTCCTTCCCATAGTACCCCCACTTCCTTGAGGTTGGGCCATGCCCCAGGTGACCAGACAGGAAGTAGATTCTGTAACAGTTCTGCACAAGAGGTGGGGAGTGGTGGGCCTGACCACCCCCCCCAACATACACTCCTTCCCCAGAGGCAAGGGCTATTCCAGATCCCTCAGGGCCAGGTTGGAGAGAGGGATACCCCTGAACTCACACTGCACCTGTGCTGCCCCAAGCCTGACTCACCCTAGGACCTGGGCTGGGGGTCGGGGGCTTGACTGTCTCAGCCAGATAACGGGGGAAGTAGATCGAGGCCAGGGAACCTTCGCAAGGCCAGCACCTGGCACGCTGCAGCCAGACCATGCTACCCTCCCTCCCAGGGTCCCAGCTCACCTTAGAGACCGATTTGCTCCTGCAGGGGTGCAATGGTCTGAGGAAGCAAGCCAGAGACCTGTGCAGCAGCTGGGTCCTCAGCTGGCCTGCACACCTCCCCCCACACCCCACTCCTGCCAAGCTCTCCAACCTCAGCTTTGTTTTAAGAGGGAAGAGAGCTTGGGAGTGAGAGGGACAGGACCCTCTTGCTGGGAAAGGAATAACACAGCCCTCCCAGGTGCTACCTGACCCCCCCCCAACTCCCATTCCTGGTCAGACAGAGCCCCTGGACCCACATGCCCATCCAACACCACCCCCACAGGGCCAGACTGCCCCCTGCCCCCACCAAAGGCAGCTCCCACCACCACGGGCCCCATTGCCCTCCCACCACGGTTTGCAAGGACTCCGTCCCGCCGCCTCACTAAGCACTCCACTCGCTTATCACCCAGTGTGTCAGGGAAAGGAAGGCAGATAAAACAGGTCTGGTTTCTGTCACGGCCGGCCCTCCGACACCCAGCTCCTGGCAGCTGTTCCCATGGGACTCCTCCGCCTCGGCCCCGGGGACCCAGTGGCTCCTGCGAAGCCATCGATGACATTTCCAGACACCCCCCATCCCCAGCCTCCTGGGGCCCGAGCCTGGGCTCAGGTTGCCCCATCCTCCCACCCCCACTCCAGCTGGCTCACAGCAGCAGCTCCCCGCTGCCCGACTAGGGCACACACAAAGCCCAATGAAGCCAAAGCTAATCCTCGTGGTTTAGACACAGGGAAACTGAGTTCAGCTGGGAGGAAACCCCACACAAATGCTCCCAGACTATCTTCTATCTGCTCCAGGGTCTTGGGTTCCTGCAGGAAGTCTACTCTGATTCCTCTTCCGATGGTCCCTTCTCCCTTGCCACACTTCCTTGCCAGTCCATGCCAGAACATGGCCAAGGGCTCTGCATCCACACACTGAGTTCAGGACATTCTGTGTGGATCAACCCACCTTCCACTCCTGCGGCTCCAGAATCAACAACCAAAGGAACTCTAAATGCCACCAATGCCACGAGACCCTTCCACAAAACAATCAGCCCCATCTACCACTGGGCCATGGGCACAGATAAGACCATCATGTGCAGGCCCCCGTCCCCCGCCTAGAGTGTGAGACGCCAGCCAAGCAACCATGTGGCACCCAGCCATGAGTGACCGTGTCTTTGGTCCACACCTCAGCCTCACCCTGTAGCTCCAATCCTTAGCCACATCACAAGCTGCTGCTCACCGCACAGGAGCCTGAACATGTGTGTGACTCCACACAGCCCTGCTCACTGCTTGGCTCAGGGCTGGGGTCGGTGCTCCTGCAGGGCTGGCAAAGGGGGCCAGTAGCAAAAAAAGTGGACACTGGCCACTGCAGGCAGGAGGACAGGGGGTGCTGACCCAGGCCAGGGGGTCTCTGCCCCTCCAAGAGACCAGCTGCTCCCTGCCCTTCAGGCCTCTCTGGAAACCACAAGCTGCTCCCTGCCTGAGTCTCCATTCTCAACTCCACACCCACCGTCTGATTTCCAGAACTTTCCCAGCCAAGTCCTTCTGGCTCTCTGGTGGCTATCTGGCCTGGCTTGTGCTTTTTCTGACCAAGGCCTCTGCCCAGGACTCCTTCCTTATGTTTGCCCCAAAGACTGGCCCACCGTCTCACTTCACCCCTAACCTCTAGCCTCAACTACTCATGGGAGCAGTACAGCAGGGAATCCACCTTCATTTGGATGTCCATGGCCCCTAACATTGAGCATGACACCAACAACTCCACTTCTGCACCCACACCTGCCTGGGCCCCAGGCATCCTCCAACTCTTACATCCATACTATGCCCCAGGCAGCCCTATCCATGTACCGCTGCATCTGTCAGGCCCACCCATCCTTGGCCATCACAAGTGAGCCACCCTTCCCAGTACCATGTATCCCTGAGTCGGTGAGCAGAAACTCAGGGACCCTGCATCCTTCCTTCATCTACTACCCATGACCAAGAAGACAAGTTCAGAACCTAGCACGATGGCTCAGTGGCTAAAGTCTTCCCCTTGCAAGTCCTGGGATCCCATCATGGCACCGGTTCGTGTCCCAGATGCTCCACTTCCCATCCAGCTCCCTGCTTGTGACGTGGGAAAGCAGTAGAGGATGGCCCAAAGCTTTGGGACCCTGCACCCATTTGGGAAACTCAGAAAGAAGTTCCTGGCTCCTGGCTTCGGATCAGCTCAGTTCTGGCCATTGCGAACACTTGGGGAGTGAACCAATGGATGCAAAATCTTTCTGTTTCTCCTCTCTGTAAATCTGATCTGCCTTTCCAATAAAAATAAATAAATCTAACAGAAAGAAGAAGAAGCAGACTAGCTTGGTGGCCTGGTGAGCAGTGGCGAACTCCCTCTGTGGAGAGAACCCACACATGTTCATGTATGTATATGCCTGTATATACTTATCCATGTCGATGACGTAGCTACTGCTTTTCTTAAAGCTGAGTCAGCTGCAAGCGTGGCAGAAAAGCAGCAAATGTGTACTACAACAACCCCAGAAGCGGCCAAGCACACAGGTCATCAAGCACGTGTGTGCTCCCTAAAGCGACTTTACATGGAAGACATGCAGCATCCAGCTCACATGACACACACAAGTGCAGCCATGTTGTCATACACAGCACATGGAGCGCAGGGAGAGCCAGGGGCTTGGCCAAGGGGTCAGCTTGAAGAAAGTCCCGCCCTGGAGGACAGAGCCCATTCCTCTGCCCAGCCTCCAGGGGCCCTGCACAGTCCTCCACTCTCATACCTGGAGGCTCTTGCCATGCCCAGCTGTGCACACAGCGCCCCAGCCCCACCCTGCCCTGCAGCCAGCCCTGGGCCTCCTGCTTGTAGCCTGGGAAAGCAGTGGAGGACAGCTCAAAGCCTTGGGACCCTGCACCCGCCTAGGAGACCCATAAGAAGCTCCTGGCTGCAGCACAGTGGCTACTAATGGTTATGGAAACAGTTCCTTCCCAGGCACGCTCCTCCAGCAGCAAAGACCCCTCTGGCCCCCTGGGTTGCAGCCCAGCCCACAGCAGGAGAGCTGAATGCCCACGGCCTAAGCCAAACAGGGGGAGCAGGTGCAACATGTCCAGACTCAAGTCCTGGAAACCCAACCCCAGAGCACCAGGCTGGTCAGGATGGAAAAACCCCACCCAAGGGCCACCTGCCATTCCAGGAGGCCCATGATCACAGCAGTGACTGGTCCACACCGGTTTCCGCCCCTCCTCTTCCCTCCCTTGCCCCCACTTGGTGTGGGCCTCTGGCCAGCCACTGACCCTAGAAATCCCGACAGGGCTCAAGGCCAATCCAGAGTGGCCCGCCCAGAATGAGCAGAGATTTGCCCCCCTGCAGGGCCGGGTTCCCACCATTCCGGCTTGGGCTGAGCAAGACCACACGGCATTTCCCTTCCTGTACACCCAGGGACTTCAGTTCTCAATTCGGGTTAATCAGCAACCGCGGCCGTCAGGCCTCGGTGAAGCAGCGATGCGGGAGACGCGTAAATGAAGGTGCTGACCTGGACAACAAGCCCAGGGCCCATACCTGGGCGCCCTTGAGTGTCTTGGGACGAAGGGAAAACACAGTCCGGTTCCCAAGAAGGGAGGGGGCAGCAGAGAGGTGAAGCAATGCCTTCCCTGCCCTCTTTAGCTCCGAGGTGGTGGCGGGAACCTTGTCCCCAGCGGCCGATGGAAGCACAGCCCAGTCCCAAAATACGAGCGCCAGTGCACGAACTCCGGGCAAAGGCGCAGAACCTCACTCCCTGGCGTACGCGCAGGCGCACACGCACCTGCACTCACACGGTGCAACTTCCCTGCGCTCCCTCAGGCTCACCTGGCCCCGGCCGGACAGCGAGAAGGTGGCGTGGCTGGCGAAGCGTGCGGTGCCCAGCCGGGGCGCACGCTCCGGAGCCCCAGAGGCGGGCGGAGGGCTGGGTGTGCTGGGCGTGCCGGGCGCGGGAGACAACCCTGTGGCCAAGCCCAGCGCCTCCACCTGGCGCGTCAAGCGCTCGAGCTGAGCCTGCAGCCGCTGATTGTCGCGCTGCAGCTCCGCCACGGTTCGCGCCAGCGGACCGGCCAGGCGCAGCGCCTCGGCCACTCGCCGCTCCACGCCCCGCTGCAGCCCCTGCATGTCCTCGTGCAGCGCGCGCACTGCGCCTTCCAGTGCAGCCTCGTAGCGCCCGAGAGCCTCGCGCACTGTGCGCTCCTCCTCGGCTTCGGGGCTTGGCTCCATGGCCGGTCTAAGAAGCGGACAGACACGGGAGGAGACCCGACCTCGGCCGCTCGGTGTGGGCACTGGCAGTGTGCGGCTGGCTGCGCCCGAGGGGCGGCCGGAGGGGCGGGCGCAGGGGCGGGCCGGGTCTGGGGACTGGGCGCCGGGCGGGTGGGGGCGGGCCGAGAGGCGGGGCCGGGACCCGCCCGGGGACAGCCCCCTGCCTTGGGCATCCGAGGGACCTTGAAAATGGGGGACCTGGGAAGAACCAACACAAAGTCCGCCCCGTCTCTCCTCCTGGGAAATGTGGAGCTGCGGTTCCAAGGGGAGGTCCCTCCATTGGAGTCCTCTAGACTCCGGAGGAACCGCGTGAGGCCTGGGGGATGGAGTGCAGGCCCACTGGGAGCAGGCCCACTGTGGACTCCACTTTGTGCCTTCCGCTGTCCCCGGATTGGACGGAACACTCCCGCAGCTCCGGGAGAGCTGCAAGCCGGGGCGGCGGGGTCCAAAACAGAAGCCCTCCTTGTGCTGTCGGACTCATCTGAGAAGCCTTCGCCTGAAGTTTTTGCACGTGTTGCAAAAGGGCGGGGAGGAGATCGGTGGTGAAGCTCCTTGCCCTGCTTTGATGTGTCAAAATTTTTGGATGCTCTTCCCACCAAGGGTTACTGACGGCTCCAGGCTCCGAGGACCCTGTGAGGACAGGGAAGGGCAGGGTAGACTTGTTAAGGGCAGGTAGATCAGAAAGTATGCTCTTAGGGCTGCATGTCCCAATCCCAGGACCGGTGGCTTTGGGACTCATCAGCCAGCAGTGTCCGGTAGAGAGAGCCTCAACTCTACCCTCAGGACGGGGCTCCACCATGCTCCTTCCATCCTGCACCCAGACAGTTGCCCCTTCCAAGCCACCCACACACACTCCCACCATCCCGGGAGTGGGGAAGACTGGAAAGCACTGCTCTAGAAGGATGGACAAGTACTGGATGCTGTGCAAGTGATTTAAGATGAACATAAGAACGGCCCACCCTGCCTTGTGCAAAAGGCTTTCCTGAGTAGCCGTCTCTTCCCTCAGCCTGGCAATGGGGAACGAGGCTCCCAGGCCAGCTGAGCAGCCAGGGCCAGGTGACTGGCAGGAATGGGAAATCCAACAGGCTGTTCCCATTGGGTTCCACTTCCCAAGATGTTTGGAGTCCTACTGGACTGGCCTCCAGTCCTACTGGCTGCCCCTCAGAGGGGCTGGGTCGGCCTCACAGATGCTGAGAGCTCAACCCCACCCCCAATGGGGACAGGAAGGAGCTCTGGGTTACCTAATCCACGGAGCCTTCCAGCAATTATTTCATGAGAAAGTCAAGTGCCAGAAAGTACATGCTGCATGTGTGTGTGCGTGTGTGTGTGCGCGTGCTTTGAGAGTAGCCATCTGGATGCCGGGCCAGCATGAGGAGGCAGACAGCTTCCTGTGTTCTTTCTTAGGGTGGAATCTCTAGCAGTGACCTTGGGAGACGCTGCTGCAGCTCGCAGCCCAGTCGGTGCGGCGGCCCCACAGCTCTGAGCATGGGAGCTAGAGGTCCAAAAACAGAATCTCGGCTGGTGAAGTATCGTCTGTTCATGCAAGACCAAAAAGAGGACCACACACGGGCAGGCCAGAGGAGGGAATCCCTGGCCCCACAGCTGTTGAGCACCTGACTGTACACCTGGACGGGCAGGCCAGCAGGGCTGGGGGTGGTGTGCAAAAAGCAGGGGGCGAGGTAGGGGAGAAGGGAAAAAACAGGCACCCACCTGGGAAGGAGGAGTGATAGATTGTAAGAATTCTGTCCTGTCCAGCCTCAGTTGGGTATCTGGGCCCTCCAGGGTGGGGGTACAGGGAGCTGCCTGGGCTGAGCACTCCAAATCTCCCAGGGCTGAAGCAGGGACTCTGTTGAAGACAGAGACGGGGGTTGGGGGGGACTCACCATGGGTCCTGGGAAAGCAGATGGTACAAGATTCAAACCATCCCCCCCTGGCTCCCTGCCCTCGGCAGACAGGCCACTGAGTCAGTAGCTGGAGGGGAGCCTAGAAGAGAAACAGATGAAGCAGGAGCCTAAGGAGGAAGGGGAGGAGGAGGAAGCCGAGGGGTGGGGGTGGGGCGGCCAGTGCTGTGAGCTCTGCTCCCAAGCCCAGGGGGCTCCTTGGAGGCCACATGCCCCCACTCCATCCTCCCACCCCCTCCCCCCACACACACAGACATACACTCCCCTGCTGCCCAGTACCAGGCTGGGAGGGCGGCGAGTCCTGATGAACCTGGCTGAACTCCCTCTGCATACACCAGCCCTGATGTCAGCGAGCAAGTGGAGGCCGACCCCCCACCGACTGCTGGGGGCCCTGGCACCCGACCTTCCCACTCCCCTTCACCTGGCTCTGACCCCTCTGCCGCCCGCCTGTCTTTTGCTCAGCTCTGGTTCGAGGCTCCAAGCAGGATGTTTGGCAACAAATCCCCCTGCCAGCCAGCTCACATGGCCCAGTTCCTGGCCCAGACAAAGCCACAAAGTGAGCATGGTCAGAGTCCTGGGCTTCAGCCTGAGCAACAGAGTCCCTGAGGGACCAAGGACAGGCCCAGGATCACACCACACAGCTTGCAGAGGCAGGATTACAACTCAAGACGCTGCCCCCAGACAGGCTCGTGCTTCTGCTGATTCCAGTCCCCTCTCCAGCCCAGCCTCTTCCCACCTGTCTCCAGCCCTCATCCCTAATCCCTCCCGGAAGGTCCCACCTGCTCCCAAACCCCCTCAGGCCTGGAGGGACACAGGTCAGATTTACAGGGTGGACACAGGAAGCAGGAGAGGAGCAGGTGTTCAGCATGGGATTAAGACACCATATCAGAGTGCCTGGGTTCGAGTCCCCACTCTCCTTTTGATCCAGCTTCCCATGGAAGCACACCCTGATAGGTAGCACATGGTGTCACAAGCCATCTTTTTGGCAGCCTCCCATGCAGGAGACTCAGATGGAATTCTGGACTCATAGCATTGACCTGGCCCAGACCCCAGATGTGGTGAGCTAGGGAGTGAACCAGCAGGTGGAAGATCTCTCTCTCACTGCCTTTCCAAAGAATGATGGACTCTGTCCACCTGCCTGGACGAGGCAGCCCCTGCAGCCCCAGGGGCTCTGCTGTGAATACACTCATGTAAGTGCAGGCACGCGTCAGACCCCATCCACAGAGCGCGCATGCTGTCTGTCTCTAATTCTGGCGTGTCAATTGCTCCGTGAATGCTCATAAACGTTGGGTGAGTGAATGTCTAGGAGGAGGGGACTTATGGGGAGTGGGTGGGACCAGCAGGTCTGCTGGATGAATGAACAATGTGGGAGGGGGCTGGAAAGGGGCATGGATGGCCTTCAAATTCTGGTTGGGAAAGTTAAGAGGACCCTTTGCAAAAATGGGCCACAGTGATTACAGGGAATTATAGATTAGGGGAGGGGTTCCCAGACACACCTCTAAGGTCCTACCAAAGGCAGCAGCTGTCAAACCCACTGGGGAGCCTTCCAAGCTGTTCCACCAAGAAAGACCAAGATGGAGGGCCATGGACCAGATCAGACCCATAGTCTGTCCAGCTCTGATTGGCCCCGCCATGCCCTGCATGGAGGCCCCAGCAATCAGGCCTGCCAGTTAGTAAGGTGTGTGGAACAGCCATAGCCCACCCCTGCCAGGCTGCAACTGTAGGTGAACCAAGGGGAACACGCTACCAGAGCTTCCAAAGAGACGTATACTCCAGTCCCGAACCCCCAACGCCCCAATCCTTGCCGAACACATCATCCTCCCACCCACAGCTCCTCCCTCCCCCCCTATCCTGAAATCCAGCCCCTGGCCCTGGAAACCATCGCTTTGTTTTGAGTTCCACAGGGGTGGGGAAGCAGGGTTTATGTTTATCTTTTCCTGCCAGGTTGCTGGGTTCAGGAGCCAAATGGAATGATAAGGAGGGAGGTAGAAGATATGGGGGACAGGGGTCATGGGGAGGCCGTGCGAGAGCAGAGGCCCATGGCGACCACATCTTGTAGTCTTTGAGTCTCGTCTCCAGCCAGGACCAGGGCAGTGCCCAGGACACGGACACGGGGGCCACTGCCTCCCGCCTTGCCCATCACTCTGTCTATTTAATGCAGAGCACAGGGCCTGAGCCTGGAACCTCCAGGTTCCTAGGAGGCTGGGAAGAGGGAACTCCAACTGTGGTCTGCCAAACCTTCCTTCAAGCCCCGTCTCCCCTTCAGAGGACACCCAGATACGTTTGTCACATTTGTCTTTCTTTGCCCATCCTGCTCACGCGTGCAAGTGTGAGTGTGTCTGTGTAGGGGAAAGAATTCTGGACTCTGTACTGCCCACACACACACCTGTACGTGTGTTGGGGGCGTGTTTGTCAGCACCTGCAAGTGGAAGAGGGCTTTAAAGAATTTGCTCCCAGGAGGTGATTGTGCACAGGCATCTATGCATGTCTGTGTGACACGTGTCAGCAGGGTGCGTCCTATGCAGCCAGTTCTGCCCATGTGCGTGCACACAAGTGTCGTGTAGGTCCACAGGCACACACGGGCTCAATGTCTAAGTGTGAGCATGAGCATCTGCCTCCTTGCTGGTGACTCGACCAGAGCCAACTTGGGTTCTGCGGAAGGTGCACAGGATCCCCTCTTGCAAAGGCTCCTGCATGTGCGATTCACACCGATTTGGGAAGGTGGGGTCTGAGCAGCACTTCCTGCCCTTCAGGACCAAGCTGGAACCCTGTTGATCCTGCTGGAGGAGGAACTGCCCACAGAGAACAAAGGCATCCCCCAACCCCCCCCCACCCATGGAAGAGCTGGAGGTCCTTCCGCAAGGGAGGAGAGGCCAGGCTGTGAGGTGAGATCAGCGGTTTCCAGCCCGGATAAGGCTGCTGGGCTCACACTTTCCATTGCCAGGACCCTCCCTCCTTCCCCTCCTAGCCCTCCTCCTGCTCCAGACCCAGCCCCTAGGCCCAGTTCCCACACCCTGAGAACTGGGCAGCCAGCGGGGGAGGACCCAGGATGGGCAGACACTTGTCTCAGCCCTTGGGCTAGCATGCTACCTTAGTGTGTTCTGGCCATGGAGGACTAGGGCTCAGCAGGCAAGCCAGGCCCACCACAGAGACCCATACAGCTCAAATCCAGACTCCCATGCCCCGAGAAACCCTCCAAGAGAGAGAAGACAACTCAACCCCTCGGTGGCAGCTGCAGTCCCTGTATGTTACTCTCTCCATTCTGCCACGTTGTGCCCAGCTGCGCCAACGCAGGGGACCTGAGGGGCAAAAACCAGGCCCCTTCGCCTTTTGCCCCTGGTTCCCCCCAAAACGTCCCACCCAGCAGTCTGATCCCTCCAGCTCTGCCTGGACACCTCTCCTCCCCCTTCCCAGAAAAGGGGCAGGAGGGGGGAAGGGGAGGGGTTATTTATAGGGCCTGGCTCAGCGGGGTAGACAAGAGGAGCCAGCACTCCAGGGCCTTCCCTAGGGGCCCCATGGGCTGGGCAGTGTCTGCTTTCACCCCCAGAGTGGGCCATGTGGGTGGAGAGGCCAGGCCACGGCAGGGGGCTGGGCTGAGGCCTGAGCCCGGGCTCTCTGGAGCCACCTGTAGCCCAGGGCTAAGTTGGGAAGCACTTGGGGGGGTGGGGGGATTGGTGGCAGGGGATGCAAGCAGGGAAGGTCCAGGGGGCAGCTGCTCCTTCTTGTGAAGGCCACCAAGCTGTCACCTCCTTCATCAGCCCCTAGGCGTCTCACTCAAACTGAACTGTTGCAGCTGGAACCCCCATTCCTGATCCATGAATCTCGCCTGCCAACAGGGTCATGCCTTCAGGTGCCATGGAAGACCCTTCCTATTGGAACCACACCCACCCAATCCTTCACCCAAACAAAATACATAGGACTCTCCACACTCCTGGAACGTGACCTGCCCTGGACCCCCTACCCCACGGCATCCCCTCCACTTGCCCTAGATTGTCCAGCTCTTTAGAATCCAACTTACAGGCCACCACCTCCAGGCAGCCTTCCTTGATAAGGCTGTGGCCACTCCTTCACTGACCCACTAACCGTGCCCCCTCTGTAGGCTGTGGCAGGCCCCTCCTCTCCTTCTTGCCTCCCACCTCCTCAGCAGGGCTGCCGTCTGTTCTCCAGGGTGCATCCAGGCAGACATTCCTTCTTCATCAGGCCAGGGACTCCCCAAAGGGAAGGACCTTGTCTTCCTTCTCCTTCTGTCCCCTTGCTCAGCCTGCAGTCCCACTTATGGGATGGATGGGTGAGAGAAGGAGGTCCCAAATGCAGGAGTGAGCAAACTAAGGAAAGACCCCATCAGCACCTCCTGGTATCCCAGTGGGCGGGAAGGTGGCAGGGGCAGCTCGGGCCAGGTCTCAGTGACACAGCTCGGCCCTGGGCAGCAGCCAGATCGGTCACTCTCATTCTTTCCAGATCAAAGTTCCCCCAGGGAAGAGCTGGGAACCTGACACTGGCATGGAGAGGTGGAGCCAGCTGGCCCGAGCAAGGGGAGGGCACCCGGAGGCCAACACCTGTCCCCAGCTCCAGGACACCAGGCTAAACAGCCTAGGGAGGGGCCTGGATGCCACAGCCACCTACTCCTGCCCAGCCCCACCTACACCCAGGAAGAAGCATACTGGTTGTTGGGGTGGGGCAGAGGGGCAGGGAGGGTGTCCCTGGGTCTAGGCCCTCCTGAACCAGAATGTCTCAGAACTCCAAGTCCCACCAGGACCTCCCCCGGGGCCATCTCCTTCCAGCTTTTACTGGCCCTGCCCACCTTCCAGCCCCTCCCAGAATGTCTCTGTCTCAGCTCCTTTCTGTCCTGGCTCTCTCACAATGGGTGTGAGGTAGAGTAGCCAGTCCTCCCTTCTGCAGCCTCCTTGTTACACTAAGCCAGACTGAGATCCCAGGAGCAGGCAGG